TAAAATTTTAATATGCAACAGAAACATGAGAAAAGCAATTGTTCTTACAGTAAATAGTGAATATCTATATATTTTCTCTCACATGTGGTGTGAGATGTAATTTCATATATAATTTTAGACATATCTAATAGGTAAAGAGATATTGCAACAAATGAATAAGATTATATCACAAATGATGATGAAGAGAGTGAAAACTGATGTGCATCTCCTGTATTACATGTTAATACATTTTATTATACTGGACTTTTTACTTTATTATCCATTAAAATTCCAAAATTTTGAGTTTTCTAAGATAGTTACTATATTTGCCATATCTAATCAATTATTGGTAGAGTAGGTATACAATAAGTGTTTTCTGAATGAATGTTGAGCAGTGAAAGCTGAAAAGTAGTAGTCAATATTATTCTAAGGAAGGTTGAGCAGAGGAAGGAAATATATTCAAGATTTAGAAAGTAAGGAACAAGTAATATTGGAAATGTATTCAGAATACTTATTAATATTTGTGCCTGAAAGTGGCACTAAGTCTCTTTGAGCACTTTACAATTTGGCATATGAGAGTGATAATCAGTTAGTTTTTCTTCATTGCTCTAGATGTTAGAACTAAGACAAATTGGCAAATGGTAAGGAAAGTAGATTGAGTTTGAATAGAAGGAAATTGTTGCAATGTGCCCATGAAAATGCAGCTTTCCAAATGTTATTTTGTTACTGCTATCTAAGCAAAAGCATACACACCAGTCTCATCTCATAATGTTAGCCAAAGGAGAAAAAATAGAAATAGAAACATCTTATACTACTCATTGGTTTAGCAATCTGCACAGGAAAGAGAGCTGAAGAATCCTGGCTCAAAGGAATCTTAGAGGTCATGTAGTCCAATATCCTATAAGCAAGTATTTCTCCTACAATAGTCTTGACATTCTATCTCTTTGACTAATTCCATTATACAAATCTTCAAAGATATAAAAACATTTTAATTATGATTTTGAGTCACTAAAATTGCTATAAAATTTCCTTCTATTTTTGCTCAAACTTCTTTTCTATACCATTTATCAATCTGTCACAGTTCTAACTTTTAGAGCAGTGAAGAGTAACTGATTCCTGCTCTCACATACCAGACTGTCAAGCACCTGAAGAGGAAATTTGTCTTTTAAGAAGTGTTACATGCTACACTGATATCAAAAGGTTGGAAGATCACATTTTGAGCAACATTTTAACATTTTAACATTTCATGAATATTAATCAACTATAGTACTTCTACCTGGGACCCTTCTACAAGAAGCATTCTCCACAAACAATATTGTCTTTAGTTGTTCAATTGGATGTAAATATGGATATTGATACAGAAATGGATAGGATAGCTATATCACTTTTCTGGGTTTTAAAGAGTGTTTATGATTACATTTTCTCAAGTTAATGTGTTTTTCTGGCTCCTTTCTTGATTAATTTAAAAATTTCCCTCATAATCTCTGATCTACCAGGAATAGAAGATGGTAGTTATAAAAATAATTGAAGTATATAGTTCTGTAACTTTTTTGCTCTAGACAATAGAACTTCCTAAGATTCCACTGTATTTTCCAGAGTGACACATATTTGATTCATAATGAAAAAGCCTCCTTAAGTCACTGAACAATCTCATGTAGGATGATTTTTTAAAATCTTTCACACCTTGAATAACTGCCTGTCTTGGCTCACAGAAAATAATACAGCAAATCGTATCAAACATCTAGCTGAGGTCAGTGAATGTTGTTTTTAAGCACAAATTAGACTTAACAACAGTTTCATTTCTTATGATCCTAGTCCTGTTAGATTCTGGACACATTGTTAGGAAATTATTATTATTTTAACATAAGGTGACATACTTTTTGAAAATAAAAATAAAATTATAGATAAGGGAAATCAAATTAATCAAATTATTCATTAAAAAAGGTGAACTTTATTCCATGTAAATTGAATCTCAATATATCTGACTTTTAAAAAATTCGAAGGAAAGCATCCCCACAGATAGGATTAATCACTTACCTAATCACATCTAGCAATTTATGACTTACCTAGAAATTTTAAAAGATGATATGGGAGACAAAAGATGATGCAAATGAGGGAAAGGACTGGCTTATAGCAAAATACAAATTAACATTATCTATAAACTCAGGCCTAAAGATCAGATGAGACCAGGATCTACAATGCCACCAGATTATGAATCTTTGCAAAACTATTCATATCTATTCTTACGTTCATGCCTCACAAATTTAGGTTCAATTATAGTAAGGAGGCAGGGTAAACAGTTTGATGGCTTACACAGCCTATGCCAGGATGAGGTTTTATGCATACCCTAAATATGAACAGAACTTCAGACATTACAACATAATTTTGCCTAGATGTCTTCATGTGTCTTGATTGTATCAAATCCCTCACTTATTAATTCACAGACAATGGAGAGTGCAACTTGGTTTATCAGAAGAATGTCATACTGGCTTCAAACAGGTCTTAATCAGATCCTTGGTTCTACACCTGAATCAAAATTTTAGGAATGGGTTAAACCCTTTCTCAAAATGTGAACATGGCTACTAGTTTAATGGAAAAAAGCATAGAGATTAGAAATCTCTAATTCAAAGTTGCTGATTGGTTGTTTCTTAACTGAATTTATTTTTTTATCTTCAGTAGAAGGATTTCTACCTTGCTATGGCTAAGTTACAACTAATATTTGGAAGTCTAGAATGGTCAAGGGGAATAAACAAAGTCTGTTTAGCCATGGGTTTTAGGTCATGGGTATTCACCTTGAGTTTCCTTAGGCCATGCGTGTTCACCACTGCTTTTATAATAACCACTACCATGTGTTATTGAGCATCTATGTTCTGGGTCCTAGCAATCATTTAAGGTTAAGCAATTTGCTAAAGTTATAATAATAGAAAGAAAGAAGGTGACAGGTTAAGGTTATTTTTTTTCTGCTAAAGCCATGCCTAAGTAACACAGTCTTCATGACACAGAAGATACCACCTATATGGTCTAGGTATCTTCTTTAAAATAAATAAATCTAATTTAAAATTAAAAGTTGTTTGATTAAAAGGTTTTAATTAAAACATATGATTAAAATTCATTTTATGTATGAATTTATTTATGGATTAATTAATCAACTGGCTGGAATATAGTAATGAATTTCATTTGTCTCTATCTTAAGTCAGAAACAAATAGAGCTAAAAAATAAAGTTAAATAAACAAATAGAGTTAAAAAATAAACAAATAGAGTAAATAAAAATAAACAAAAGTAAATAAATAAAGTAAAGTAAATAAAAATAAACAAATAGAGTTAAAAAATAAAGCATTTTGGGATCAACACGCCATGGTGAAGCCCTGAAAGGGCTACATGATTCTAATTTTTTTGGCATCCCTCCTCTTTTAAAACATTTTTCCCAAAGTGGCTAAGATAAAGCTGGGCAAAGAGATATTGTCGTCTGAATTTGCTCCAGCATAAACATGTTAATTTCATGACTCTATCATTACCTTAAAATATATAATTATATTTAGACAGTGTTAATGAATCAATGATTATATCAGTGATTATGAAACTTTATGTTTAATTTGATATCTATCCTCAATTATAAACTTACAGAGATAAATGAGTTTTTCAACCCATGTTTTTAAAAACATACAAGGCTTATTAATTTGAGACCAAACAATTAGAGGAACTTAAAGAATAATATTTGGATTCAGACTAAGTCATTATTAAAGGGTAACCTTGGGCAAATTACAGAAATTTTCCCTTAATCAATTTTTCCACCCCCTAAAATGAGAACAATATCAACCTTTTGGGGTTGTTGTAAGGATTAAATAAGATGATAAACATAAAAAAATACCTTGTTTGTTCTAAAGTACTGTATAAATATAGATTATAGTTTTTAAGCAGTGTTTAATAAATCTAAAATGTGATAAAATGTTGATTATATGAACTATAAAAAACTAAAAATGATTTTCAAAATTAGTTTTTCCTAGAACTTAAGTGGTAAGCTATTTTCTGCTAATGTTTCATGTAAAGTATTTTTAAAATTCTTATGAATTTCTTTGTTTAAAACATTGTTTCTTCATGACTCAGCACTTCTTTCTCATGGCACAGATGTTATTCATAGTGAATAGTTTTTTTTTTAATTCTCATAATGTTTATTCTCATTTATTGAATGAGTACCAGGAAAAAATAGGTTTTATAACCAAATATAACTATCTTTCAATTCTACCTCTATTCACTTAAAATCTCTAAGCTTTAGCTTTCTTTTGAAAGGTATACCAGGGTGTTATATTACAAAAACAAAAGAAAATTACTACTGGGAAAATTAAATTGTTAATAACATTTATCTTTATCTTCATTGGCTCCTGACTTTGAGTTCTACAACATTAATAATTCCTTAAAGTTGCAAATCTGGAAACACCATTTTTCCATGAAGGCCTAATTTAAGAAGGCTGTACCATCTGTGTTTGTGTCTGTTTGGTCCCAATAAACAGCATCAAATGTCAATGATTGTGCATAAAATTGAGATTCTAGAACTTTCTAAAGGGACAAGTCTTTGGTGAAGTTTCCATGATTACCACAGGTGTTGCTGATTATAGAAAATATTTCATTGTATTATAAAGAATTATGGATAATTTTTTAAAATCTCAGTATTTTTGAGCTCTTAATTTTCTCTAAATTTTCTGTTTACCCCTCCTTATTTTTTTATAGGCTTGACGAGATCATTCAGATTTTGAGTGGGAAAAAAAACCATCAAAATCCTATGGAATATTTCAAAACCTTTCACAAAAGTTGTAGTACTTTCTACTTTATACATTGTGTAATCATCATCTCTGTTTTAAACAACTGCTTCAGGTACTCTGTCTTCATTTACCATGACATTTTGTTTTCAGCAAAATAAATGAGAAAATCTTGAGAAAAAAATTTAAAATTTAAAAATTTATAAAAAAATTTATAAAATTGTGAAGATACAAATATTTTGTTTGTTCATAAAAAAATTTTTCACCTTCACCTGGCAAGTGATGTACTTGATTCCTCTGTCTCACAGCTGGTATTTCATTCCTATAAAAGCCTGCTGCTGCCTCAGGAGTTCTGGTAGCAAGTCCTAAAGAAGGGAACACAAAACTATTGGCATGTAATTTCTTAGTGAAATTTCATGTGAATCAATAATTTAAAGGTAACTACGTGGAAAGGTCTCTGTTTGTTCCTTTATCTAAAACAAACAGGTACTGAACACAACAGAGGACTGTTTGTAAGGAAGAACAAAATTCTTTGGAGAAAGTAGTGGATGTTAGACACAAAGAATTGCACAGAAGGAACAGTCAAATGTGGCCTTAAGATCCAGCTCTTCATTTGATAAAATACAGCACACCTTCATGTTCAAAACACTAGAAAAACTAGGGATAGCAGGAACAAACTTCAACATTGTAAAAGCTATATATGCTAAACCCAAGGCCAACATCATTCTACATGGAGAAAAATTGAAAGCATTTCCTCTAAAAACTGGAACAAGACAAGGATGCCCTCTTCCACCACTTCTATTCAACATCATATTTGAAACTCTAGCCAGAGAAATTAGACAAAAGAAAGAATTAAAGGGATATAAATAGGTAAAGAAGAACTCAAACTATCACTATATGCTGATGACATGATTCTATATCTAGAAGATCCAAAAAAATTCCACCAGAAAACTTCTACAACTAATAAATGAATTCAGCAAAGTAGCAGGATATAAAACCAACACCCATAAATCAAACACATTCCTATACATCAGCAATGAATCCACTGAAAGAGAAATTAGGAAAACTACGACATTCACAGTAGCCTCAAAAAAAAAAAAAAAAAAAACACACACACACACACACAAAACTGGAATCAATCTAACAAAAGAGGTAAAAGAACTCCACAATGAAAACTACGGAACACTAAAGAAAGAAATTGAAGACAATCTCAGAAGATGGAAAGATCTCCCTGCTCCTGGATAGGCAGAATTAATATTGTCAAAATAGCCGTACTACCAAAAGCATTATACAGATTTAATGCAATTCCTATTAAAGTCCCAATGACATTCTTCATAGAAATAGAAAAGCAATCATAAAATTTGGAAAAATAAGAGACCCAGAATAGCTAAAGCAATCCTTAGCAAGAAAACTGAAACAGGATACATCACAATACCAGAACTTAAACTATACTACAGAGCTATATCAACAAAAACAGCATGGTATTGGCACCAACATAGACTTATAGACCAATGGTACAGAATAGAGGATACATAGAGAAACCCACATAAATACAGTTATGTCATACAAAGGTGCCAAAAATATTCACTGGACAAAAGATAGCCTCTTCAACAAATGGTCCTGGCAAAACTGGAAATTCATATGTAGCAAAACGAAATTAAATCTCTGTCTCTCATCCTTCACAATAATCAACTCAAAGTAGATCAAAGACTTAGGCACGAGAACACAGACCATGCACCTAATACAAGAAAAAATAGGCCCAAATCTTCACCATGTTGGCTTAGGATCTGACTTCCTTTACAAGCCTCCTAAAGCACAAGAAGTAAAATCAAGAATCAATAAATGGGATGGATTCAAATTAAAAAGCTTCTTCTCTGCAAAGAAAACAATTAATAATGTGAGAAGAGAGCCTACAGATTGGGAGAAAATCTTTACTACATGCCCCTCTGGGAAAGCATTAATCTCTAGGATATATAAAGAACTCAAAAAACTTAACACCAAAAAAAGCCAAATAACCCAATCAATAAATGGGCTGAGAAACTGAACAGACACTTCATAGAAGAATAAATACAATCGATCAACAAATATATGAAAAAGTGTTCAACATCTCTAGCAATTAGAGAAATACAAATCAAAACTACATAAATACTTCATCTCACACCTGTCAGAATGGCAATCATCAAGAACACAGGCAACAACAAATGTTGGTGAGAATGTGGGGAAAAAGGTACACTCATACGTTGCTGGTGGAACTGAAAACTGGTGCAACCGCTATGGAAAGCAGTATGGAGATCCTCAGAAAACTGGAAATGGAACTACAATTTGACCTAGCTATCCCACTCCTTGGTTTATACTCATACTCAAAGGGCTTAAAATCCGCATACTACAGTAATTCAGCCACATCTATGTTTATAGCAACCCAATTCACAATAGCTAAACTATTGAACCAACGTAGGTGTCCCTCAATAGATGAATGGATAAAGAAAATGTGGTGTGTGTGTGTGTGTGTGTGTGTGTGTGTGTGTGTATATACTCAATGGAATATTACTCAGCTTTAAAGAAGAGTATAATTATGCCATTTGCCAGTAAATGGATGGAAGTTGGAGAATATCATGCTAAGCAAAATAGGCCAATCCCACAAACCCAAAGGCCAAATGTTTTCTCTAATAAGGCAAGGGGCACTAGAGAAGAATAGCATTACCTTAGATTAGGTAGAAGAAAGTGATGGAAGGGGAGGGGAGAGGATGTGGGGATAGAAAGATAATAGAAAAGAAACAGAATTATTGCTTTATGTATGTGACTACATGACCAATATGATTCTGCAACATGTACACTAAGAAAAATGAGAAATTATATCTCACCTATGTATGATATATCAAAGTGCATAAATGCATTCTACTGTCATGTATAACTAATTAAAACATATAAAAAATTAATAAAGAATTTTAAAAAATCCAGCTCTCACCTATACCCAACAACATAAGCTGGGTACTCTGTTGTTAGTATTCTGTGATGCTAACCTTTTGATATTTTAATGTATTTAAATATTTCTGTTACCCAAGCCTTCATTTGAACTTGGTAGCTAAATAAGCCTATTGTAGATTAGACTGAGAATTATGACGATGGATGTTAAAGGTAGTAGCATGTCAGGGCCTGATGCTAGCTTAGAAAATGATGTTCTTCTGGGAAAAGTATTAGGAAAAAAGGCCCACCTTCTGGGATAACACAAGGTCAGGTTAATTTTCAACTCTCTCCAAAATAGGGGCTATTTTCTTTAAGCAATTGAATTTATGTGCCCAGCAAGGAGAAATAGGGCTCAATGTTGGTACCTGTTCACCATGTTGGAAGGCAAGTTTGTATAGAACACAAATTGCACAACATGACCTCATAAGGATTGCATAGCTTAAAAAAGTATTAACAAGTTCAATAATTATTAATGCAAAGCTTATATTGGCAAATAGACTATTCATTTGTGATAAAGTATGTTTATTTTTTTCATTAATTTATCCTAGTGGGTAGCATAATGTCTAACTGTAGAAACTGAAAATTATTTGTTGAATACTTGAGTAAATGAATAAATAATATGAAATTAGAATGTTAACCGGAAAGCTGAGCAATTCAGCATTCTATTTGGCTCACTGGATTCTTTCAGCCCCCAACTCTTTTCTGTTCTCTTTCATTATCCTCAAGGGAATAATTAATGGTCTAAACCTTCAATCTATATTACCTATAGTATATTGGGGTTATTAAAAGAGTTTCATATCCAGATGGAAATCAGAGATTAAAATGATTATTGGTTCTGGCTTCCCTAATTCCCAACTTCTCTTATTCAGAAACACTTGCATCAGGTTGTCATAAATTTTATTTAAAAAAAAAATTTTAGGAGGGGAGGGGAAGGGGGGATAGGAAGGGCAGCAGAATAGAATAGACATTATGATTGCTGTATGTATATAGGTGACTCTATGAGCAGTGTGATTCTGCAATCTGTACAGTCAGAAAAATGAGAAATTATACCCCAATTGATTCAAATGTATGAATTGCCAAGATCATTGTAATGTCATGTGTAGCTAATAAAAAATTTTTTTTAGTTGTCAATGGACCTTTATTTTATTTATTTATATGTGTGCAGAATTGAACCCAGTGCCTCAGACATGCTAGGGAAGTGCTCTACCCTAGCTCTGTCACCAGTTTTTAGTAGATTCAAATGGGTGGAGGGCTAAGATCCCCAAAAAGATTTGAATAAGGGAGGTTAACTACTGAAAAAATTAATTTAAAAAATTCATAGGCAATGGTTCTCAAGTAATCCAGAGACTAGAAGCATATAATTATAATGCACCAATGAAAAAATGGAAAGAATTTAAAAAGAGATACCATAATAAAATTAAAAATTAAATTATGCTAGACAAATAATAGTACAATAGCATGAACAAGAATAGGTTCTGAAAAAGTTATTCCTCAATACTACCACTCCATCAATTGCTTTTCCTTTATGTTTCCTCACAGACCTTTCCACAGGAAGATCCTACTTTTATCTAATACATTCTTGGCAGAGTTATGTGATCGAAGCACATGAAACTTTCAGTATATGAGCATTTTTCAATAAAAGTGAGGATTTGATATGTTTTGTTTTTAAAAACATCATCTGGGATCTTGCTGAAAGTGCAAATCTCAGGCCTCACCCAGATCTACTGAATGAGAATCTCTGGCACTCAGCTATCTGTGTTTTAACACTGAACTAGAGGAAAACAAACTAAAAGTAAGTAAGAAAAGGCAATAAGAGTATTGGCCCTTTAGTACTATTTATACATTTAAAAAGATACAAACATAACAATTGCCATTGTCAGTATTGAAGTGATAAGTGAATCTTATCATTGTACATCAATTCTGCCTCCAGGTAACATAATGAAAAGTAGTTAAAACTTTCCTGCTTTGAAGCAGAATTCTTGACTGCATCAGAGTTCCTATGAGTCTACCTTGAAAAGGAAGTGTGGTGGTGGTGATGTTTCCAGATCTCCTTTAATCTTAGAAAAAACATCATAGGCAGAGGGGTAAAAGCAGGATGTCTACTAAAAATTACACTAGTTTTAAATAATTGGTTATGAAATATAAAAAGCCGTATCCCTAAAACCAGGAACAAGAAAAATATGTTGCTAACACTACATCTATTCAACATTGCATGAAGTTCCTAGCCAATATCCTCCTTTAAAAAGAAAAAAAAGAGCTGCTATTTTCACTGGGGACATCACTGGATACACAGACAATCTAAAAGAATTTACAAATTATTAGAATTAAAAAATAAATTTACCAAATTTGCTAGATGAAAGCTAAATATACAAAAATTAATTGTATTTTATATTTTAGCCAC